GCCGCAGGATGTCTGTCAGGATATGTAGGATGTCTTAAGCAATAAAACTAGGATTAAATAGACTTTCCTTTTTTACGGACAAGTTAAGTGTGGTGCATCTAACGGCTTGTCAGTAGTTATTCCACTCGGTAAACCTCCAAGCGGTCCTGAATTAAATGTGATAGCTTTGGTATACCTTTGCGTTTTATTTTATCGTCTTCCTGGACTCTATGCAACCTACTTGTCAATGTCTATCACTTCTTTATTACATGGCTGTATCTTCTTGAAGAGTAGGAGCAGTTTAGCAGGAAAAACATATTCAAGCTTTAGTGGACTCTAATATCGTAGCAATAGGAATTAGTTTTTTAAACTCAATAGAGGTTATTGTAGAATTAGCCAATACACAATTATAGATAAGGATACTTGAATTGATGCTATGATGACAGCAATAAAACGATTGAAAATTAGACAACCTTTGTCTAAGAAACGATTGGAAAATGTTTCTTTACGAATTTATCTCAAAGAGGAATACAATAAATTTTATTTGAACCGTGGAACGCAAATACTACCAAACGTCCTCAGATTCACTTAATTAATGAGCAATAAAGTAATGATATCCAAAAATAATAGTCAATATAACAGTGATAGTTAATGATAAGCAAAAAGAATTACATGATCAAAAACTAAAACTGTACAATAAACAAAGCCAACAGCTAACTACTACAGATATATAAAAACACAATTTGAAAATGATACATACTAGGAAACAAGAAGCTACGAACGAAAAGATTGATCTGAACACTGATTTATGGAACTGTGAAAAATGATACTTATGCGCAAACTGCGCGAGTAAACGGAGTGAAGACGTATTCAGTGATCGATGTGGGATGCCGCTAGCTTTTGTTTTGATTCTATAATAATGTGATTGAAGAATAAAAGGTTCCTAGTAAATGAGAAAATGTTACAAGGTGACAATTTCGTTTCTAAGGGTACGTAATTCACCATCGTCATCATCAACACCTTGTAAGTGGCTACTGCTGATCAAAGACGTCTTCCCAAACGGAGAAGGTTTGATTATTGCTTGCTAAGTACTGCACCACGCTTGCTAAATGCGGGTTGACGATTTCAAACTTATAATTAGAAATTATCTAAGTGTTCTCACGATGTTTTCCTTCACCGTTTGTTAGTGGTGTCTAAATAATCTTAGAAAGTACATATAACTCGGAAAAAGTCACATTGGTACTTGCCGTTGGCAGGTTTCGAAACCGCGCTCTCATGCATGAGAAGCGGGCGTCATAAACCTCCGGGTCACCATGATACGACACGATTGTTAGTAATTAGTGATTGGTAGAGGTTGTTAACCATTTAACAGCGGTTTATATACACAAATTAATTATTACTACAGGAGGAAAGCTACATCGGTCAAGTGGGCGCAAATGCGAATGCCGAGCAACGGGCCTTGGCTTGAATTCGAAGATTGGACAAAAAAAAAATTGGAGAAACAGAAATTATTGGAGAAAAATCAATAACATATCTTAGTACGAACAACCTGGAAACTCCAATTATAATATCTAATTTTAGATTGTCATCGGATACCCTTCTAAACCTAATGTAAGACCTTCCAATTTTCTCCTGTCAACCTGTGTCCTGCGCATGTCAATTCCTATTGTTCCAATTATCTGTCTATCCACCTATTCCGTATTACCTATGACAACATGACATGACGTCACGCCCTTTAATTCCCAAAGTGATCGGCAAAGGCTTTCACAAGAGAAAAAAAAGAGTCCAACGTAATAAAAGGTGAGTTTATTTCCATACACTGACCACAATTTCATTATTGAGAAATCCGAAATTCGAATAAAGAAATTTACAATTCGTACGATCCGATAATTGAAGCTTAAGTCCCAACCACATAAACGTATTTCACCATTATACACCTTTATACACATGACCAACCAGAATGAATGAATTTATACATATATCTGAAAATGTCTCCATATTCCTTTAAACAAGAACCGTCCTTAAAAACTCGTATAACGTTACATACGAAAGTTTCGAAAACTTTCATAACAATAAATATAGTACGTAGTTAGACTTAGTTACCCTAAGTGATATCGCTTAACAAATAACTATCATTGCCATCAAGATAATAGTCCTCTAGAAAATGTTTCGAATGGCCCAATTAAAAGGAATTGCCCAAAGCGTGCTTCAGTTAAATTTTGTCGCAATTCCACCAAGTGCCTTTAGGTGGGATGAAGCTTTTAGAAAATTGATATCCTTTTTGAGACTATCTTTTCATATTTTTGTAACAAAAATAGAAGAATAGTGTTTGTTATTGAGATTTGAATATTTTATGGCTTCAACGAGTGTTCGAATGTCGTGGGACTTTCGGAGTTCTTGTTGAAATAGTTTGAAACTATGACTGTTGTTTGGTAGTAGGCTTATCCCTATTACGATGGGACTCTCAACTTGTTTTGAAGAGTTTAATCCAAGTCAAAACCTCCACAACATTGTTGATCTAATGGCAATTCCATTCCTTGTCTTTTTCTTCATAAACTAAAGAAAACTTGGTTCAAAGTTCCGAACACATCCCATTATAACAATAGTTCTGGTAACTATCGTACAATATAATTTTATGGCGCCATCAAAGCTATCATCCACAGTTATTCGTTTGATCTGCAAAGTTACTAACAACCTCATCCTGTATTCTGCTACAGTTCAATGACTGTCGAACTTTGTCTAGCGGCGATGTTGACGACCTTGCGGTTTAACTCATCAATGTATGACGCGCAATGTATAGGGGATGTGGTTACAACAATTATTAATGTTACCTTAAAAAATGTTTTTAATATTATTGTTAATTTGTGTGAAAACTTTATGTGTACAAAAATATTTTTGTAATGGGGTATTGTTAAGAACATTTTAACAAAACTGTTTCCTGTGAAGGTTATGCAGGCGCTCACTTTATGTCAGTTATATTCGGAATTATACGTGGCAACTTACAGAAAAAGAAAAAGAAGTGCATACGCTATTTTCAACTAGCTGCAAAATTGAAAAACTGCCGTAATCGAAAATGAGAATACTTGAGAATGAGAAACCTTTACAAGGTTTAAACTTTAAGTCGGACCAGAACTAAAAACTTTTCAATAAAGTACGTTACTCAAGGTTTCTTCCAAAAAAAAAATGATTGTAAGGAATACT